TTTTCGCATTCATTTAGAATTTTCATGACGACTAAAAAAAAAAGACTTTGGAGTGAAAATATACGAACTGCCCTAAAAAATATATTCGTTCCAAAATCTGACGCAAATGTCATCATAACATTACCTTCCGTCTAGACGAAACTTTGTGGAAACTGACCTACAAAAAAACTGTTAACGAGAAACGAGAACCCAAGGGGGATCAAGTGTGTCCAGTCCCCCCCACTAAGCTAATAAAAAATCTCTATATGGAATCTTACAAATTCATAATTTAATTACTACGTTATTTTTAATGTAACCATTTATGGATTTACAATTGTTTAATCTCTTAGAATCTTTTGGTTACATAGCTGTTAGTGTCGGAGTATGTCAAATGTTGCATATTGATCACAGTGACTCAATTGTGACAACATGTTATTGGTTCCATACATCTTATTATTTGTAAGATTTACTATTTACCATTTATCTATCCGTTGGTAAAACCTATCAGCTAAAATTAACTTTTATGAAAAACCTTTGCACTGATCCGTGCAATCGGCTGATTTTATATGGGTATAACAAAGCAAATTAAATCACATCGAAGTGGCGTTAAACCCTTTGACCGAAATGTTCAGATTTGTACAAACAATTCTATTTAGGTATTCCCTATGTACACTAACTTACATAATCTGAAATTTCTCGAAGGGAACTCCAGAATCTGTATGTTATTACAGGAACAAAAAAAAAATATTACGGTTCAATGATATAATAGGGTTCCATACAGCCAATCCACAAAAATAAGATACATAAGTTTTGACTGGCCTCGTAGCAAAAAGATTTAGTTGCAAGTACTTGTCGGGTATACCCTAACAAATGATTTTATTTATGTTTTATACCGATTGATTGTTCAATGATCTAAATTAAATCAACTTGACTAACATTTGTCCCAGGAAATTAATATGTGACTGTAACCAATTTGCAGCATAATCAAGAATGTGAACAGGTCATGAGATTAATGAGGCCATCAAATAAAAACTATCGGTCAGATATGTATTTATGCGCAACGTGCAAATGCACTCTTACGGTCAAAGCATCAAAGCATCTTGGCTTGCCAGGTGCGATAATTAAAAACAGCACTTGACCATTACTTTTATGGTCATCGCCTGTCATCAATAAATGTTTCTGTTGTTGGTTTTCAATGGTGCAAATAAAATTACTACATTGAGCATCATTTGGTCAAGGAGAGGTTGTGTGTCAGTGCCCACTGAAGCATCTTGGATGATGCATACTGTAAGCTTCGCTAAATTTAGCAATTTACTTTGCACTTTAACACCAAATTTACCTTTATTTATTCTTAAACGAGACGTGTACAAACCATTACTTCTGTTACTGATGCTGTGGTTGCGGATGGTTTTCAAGGTTGGTTCTAAAGGAGATTATTCGCGGAGAGGATATTAACGTCGACTTGTGTGTTTTATTATACGATCGTGCCGATTTGAAGGTCACGGATGACTTGGAAGATGGGCAACTACGCTAGTTGTTATTTCATTGCAGCCTAGAGCAATATCATTGATAGCAAACACACGGAAGATCTTTTTTTTACATTTCAGTAATTTTTTGATAGAGAATGTATGATTCGCGTGATAGGATATTGATTTTCACCTGGATAACTGTTTTTGACTTCTTTGAGACAGTAATCTAGGTGAGATGTCATCGGTATCATTCAGAATCACTTATATTCTCTTTGTTCAATAAAAAACCTTAAATTAGGAGAGAGTGGACACACTTGATCTGCTATTTTAGTTCTCAGCGGAAAATATCGAAACTTGTGCGGTTTCTTTACAGGTTCATAGAGAAAAATCTTGTTCAATTTTACACAGTTCGAAAAAATAGTGTAAATTTCTGTTCAATATGATGCACATAAATGGAGCGTCATATAAGTTTACATTATAAATACATATCATATAAGTTTACATTATAAATAATGTTATGTTCTGAGACATTTCATGCAATGTAGCAAATATTGTATACAAAAGCCCATCTTTGTAAACAACATTGTTTACAAGTTGCTCGGTTGCATGAAATCAAATACAAGTTTACGTGAATGAATGTTTACATCACAATTAAAATTCAGAATTTTTATCTGTGTAGGAATACTCTTCATTCTCAAAAGTGATGCGTCAAAAGCGCGTTTTATTTTTCTGATAGATGTCTAAAAACGCATCTTGAAAAATTGTGGGAGACTTGATCCCTTTTTGATAGCATGCATGCACACTTTCTAAATTCCTAATTTTACACGTGACGGAATCCATCTTTGACATAAAGGATGATGTAAAATTAAGTGCTCCGAGACTGAAAAGTTCATTACTCGTCAAAAAGTACGTTTGATTGAGCTGAATTTCGCGTCCATTATGACTCAATTTTATGTCAAAATTGACGCTCGTATATGTCAGTCTCAGAGCACTTAAATTTACATGATTTTTTTCAAGTGTGTGAGTTGACTCAGGGTTCTGTCATATAGGGTTACGGTATGTAATGTGGGTCTAGTCCTTTCATTCGGCCTATCACGCAAATAAATAATTAATTAAGGAATATTACACAAAAATAAGGAAAATATTGATCACTGATGGTTCATAAATGTGTACCACACACAAATCAATTTATATCACAACATTTCAATACATTTTCAGCTCTCGTAAGTAATAAAACTGGTTGAGAATATCACTCTGTTCGGAGTTTTTAGCCGCCATGACTTATAAGGTTAAGATGGGAAGGTTGACTGACGATCATCAAATGGCCTGATTATGGCATTTATTGAATGGAATTACCTGATAATACACACTAGACGTAAAACTTACAGTTGCTGTTTGAATATTTTATGTTTCTTTTAATTGTTTAACAACGTTTTCACAAGTAAATCATGGACCCAACTTTAGGGACACATTTCTTTTCTATGTTCCTAACTATGGCCCATGAAATTCATTTGACAGCATATAGCAATAAGAGTAACGTCAACAATGTGGTTTGCATTTGGATGATAAGGAACGAACAGGAAGGAAGATTTTTTCTGCCAAACCTGTATAATGAACATCACAATGTTTTGATTTCGCTATTCTGCGGTCGAAAGACGATAAGCGAAATTTTTAATTTTTAATTTTTAATTTGAGTGATTTAATGTAGTTTTCGTAAAATTTTCTCTGTGAAATGTTTTGAGGAATGAAGAGCATTAAGTTAACAGTGATAGTGATAAAAAAATATACATCAGAAAACGTTACCAAGAGCGTTTTTTTGAGGATCAAACAAGATAGGACGAAGTTGCATCCATAAATAGACCCAATTTGGGGACAATAGACCCATATTACATACATTTCCCTGGTGAGTTATTGTCTCAAAAAAAGTAAGTTTTTCAACTTTTCGTGGTTTCTGGTAGCAAACGACATAATAAGCATATCTAAGCATACCATTTAGCAGTAGAATATCGTTTGCAGGTAAATTAATTGATGAGTTATGATTAAAAACGTAATCGATGGCTGCATATTAGACCGAGGTTAGGGACGTATACCCTAATTGTAATTTTTAATTCATTTGAGCCTCTGAATGGATCAGCTAAAAACAATTATCGATCGGTTAGTCTAGCGTGTTAATCAAATGGAAGTGATTCATAGTTATGGGTGATCCATAATTGTCGGGTCAGTGCATACATACTTAAACGTAAGTTTTTTTTCTACGGTCATAAACGACGTGTGCGACCACAACAGTTCCTGTAAATTGTTATATGCGGATGATTTTAAACTTTACTTATGATCAAGTCGATTGTTGATTGCTGTGCACTTCAATCCGATATTGAACGACTAACATTGTGGTGTCAAACGAACGTAATGCTAAACCATGCTAGTAACCGTATCGATTGAGGTGCTGTGCTTCAGGAAACCAATATCCACGCATTGCGTCTAGAAAATCATCTCGTGAAACTTACACAACTACGCATTGTGAAAAAAACGGTTCCGGGTCATTTGGCCGAATGCCGTTTCGCCGAATGCCGTTTGGCCGAATCCCAAACAAAAAAAAAACCTCAAAAGAACTGCTCATGCATGGAAAAAGCATAAATATCCTGTTTTTTTTCCTGCGTTTACTGTGCAAACATAACTAGAACAACAAAACCCCAAAGAACTGCTCATGTTAAAAAGGTTGGCCAAAAACACACTAAAAGCTTATCTTTAAGAGAATAATGAATCCATCGACAATATAAAATTTCAGAATTGATAATTTTCCATTTTGATTTAATTTTTATTCTAAACAAAAAACCAATCATGCAATTTAAAACTCAACTCGTACATTAGAAAATCATTTGCTAGTACAGGATTGAGAGGTATTTGTTTGTTTGCCAAACATATGGTTAACAAAATTTCAGATTTATCGGTAAAAAGAATTCTGACGCAAATGTAACTTTAGCCGGCGCCGGTGGTGTAGTGGTAAGCGTGACTGCTTTCTAACACCCCGATGGGTCTGGGTTCAATCCCAGCCGAGGTCTGTGGGATTTTTTTGAGGCATAAAAATCTCTGGTCACGTCTTCCTTCGGAAGGGAAGTAAAGCCGTTGGTCCCGGCCCATGTGTGTTGAATGGGTGCGATATCCTACGCAGGTGTGGAAGCTGCCTTCCTGCACATTAGATTGCCGTCAATAAATGGCAATCGATGTCCGTCGGTGATTGGCACCAGATTGCGGAACAGAGACCGACGTTAAATAAAGGAAAGAAGAAGAAGCAAATGTAACTTTAACAAAACCTTCCGTTTGGACGAAACTTTGAGGAAACTAGGGGAACAGAAGTGAAAAGTGTGTCCGATTACTCCAGTTATGAAGCTTAAAAAATGAATGGCTAGGTATATACTTTTCAGCACTGTGGTTTCTCAGTAATATGTTATATAAAATTAGCTTTATTCAAAGATTAATCATGTCATTCAATTTGTTTATTTTCAGATCACAATTCCTGAACCAGGCCTGACGAGTTGATTGTCTGGGTTGTTTAATACAATAGTTTAAAAAGGTAATTTAATTGTTGCTGAGAACAAATAAAATTTAGCATTATCAGTGTCAAACAATATTTTAAAAATTCACATGGCGTTTCTGGGCTATAATAGCCCAGTGATTCCTCGTGGAAGTGCACAGGATTTCTCGGCTTCCATCAAAGCGAGTGTCACGTCAACACATTCCTATCCATTCCTTTCTTGACCTGCGTTCGGGTGCGGCCGGCGCTGGTATTGTCTAATTTGAGATCACCATTTTTATGCATTGAGGATGATTGCTATTCCCAAGCATCGTCTATTGGTTCTCTGTGTAATTACAGCTGATTTGGCAGTAACAGAGTACCCGAGTAACAATTTTGGTTTTGTTAGGGTTCTTTAGACTATGATTTAGACTTGCAGAATACTTTAAAACCGCAATAAATTTTGAAATGTTACTAGAGTAGTAACTGTGGGTGGTCATTCATGCTCATGCTCTTGCTCAAAATATCATAAAATATTTAAGTCGCAGTTATGGGCAAACATTCGGCACTGTGTAAATTTTTAACAACAACATGAATAGTTTATTTCCATTTTTCATACATATTCTTATACAAACTATGAAGTTCTCTAGAAAATCCGGATCGCCACCAAATTTGACCAAATTTGGCACAGTTGTTGGGGATCTCAATACAGATCGAAAGAATAGAGGAGAGCAAGGGGTTGAGATCAGTCATATAAACTTGAGTCACCCTAATACTCATGCTCACATCGCTCGCTTGACATATGTTGTGAGACAGTTGCCGCCGTCATTGTCATTGGTTTTGAATGGTTGTAGCCAGAGGTGGTATATAAAAATTTGGCATTATCACTTCTAAAACGTTGGGAATAAACATAAACCATCTCTGGCTGTAGCACCAACTCGATCATAAGTGTTGTAATATGAGGAGCTGGGTGGCCTTAGAGTTACCTTTATGCATACTGAACAGATTGTGGGTTTAATTGGCTAGACTTTTCAAACTCAAGAGCCGTTAAGCACTTTCTTCCATAACATGAACACAACACTTTAATTTAGCATACCGTTTACCAAAACAAAGCCTGGTAACACTTTTGCACAACATCCCAGTGAATTCTCATGGTGAAGTACAGAGGATCTTTTGGTTTTCAATGAAGCGAGTATCACGTCAACACTATTATAAAGTGTGGGATGATTACTAGTCCCAATAATTAGGTTCTTTGATTTGGCAAACCGTGGGAAATCAATCATGCTAATGCTAATGTAGAAAAAAAAGCTCTACCTAAATAACAAGAAATTTTAAATAATTATTGATTAAAAATTACGCAAAATTATTGAAAAATATTTGGAAAATCATTGTAAATAAATCCACTGGCCGGCAGTCGTATTATGGAAGAAAGCCATCTGTAATTTCTCGTTTGCGGTAATTGCAGACAGCTTTAGTTCGGAAGTAAAAGGTTATAGCTCGCTCTATTGCCGATCCAGCAACTCATTTCAGAATGTCTGGAGAGTCAAGCCCATTCACTTTCACTCAAAAAATACCCCACATCAAATGGATATTGGTATCACATACACACTTACAGGTTCGAAAATATTATTTTCAATCCTGGCACATAGATAGTTTAATTTTGACATTAAATTTGTAAATAAGAAATGTCCAACTCTCGCCACCGCTCACCGCCGCTGTTGATTGCTTCTTTTGGAATCCCTTTTACTTTTTCTCCCTAACGCTTCGTATTTCTCTAGTCATAATCACTGCTAGTCTCCCGACAGTCTCCCATGTTATTTCTGATGTATTCCACGCCATTTCAACGTTAGTTCGTTATGTTTGTATGATAATTTTGAGTTTCTTGTTGCGTCTTATAAAACTGTAACACCAGCACGGAAAATAGACAATACCCATCTCCGGGTATTTTCTTAATGAGCTTCACTCCATATATATAACCATTGAATGGTTGATTTTTATTGATTTTGCGTGTGTCCAGTGTTTTAAACCAAGAAGATAAAAATGCATAATGCGTGACAATACTGTGAACAAACTCGCTTCTCAGTAACAATACTACGGTTAAGATTATTTAAAAGTAGTTCTGTATTTTTTGTAGCTTTTAATGCTGCAATGAACTTTTTAAATACTGGGATTTCCCGAACACTGATCCTAGTAGTATTCAATTTAATTGTGCAATGTGTCTTAAGTAAATCGTAAAGGGCCAATCAATCGTTTCTGTGTACGTCTTAAGACCTGATCTATTCACGGCACTGATATACACAGACGCTGGAATGTGCGTGAACATATGTAAAAACATGATACTAGCTTTCTGACCTATCAAAACTACATAAAAAGTTTATATGTACTTATGAACACGGGGCGTGAAAAGGGAAACATTAATAATCTCTATAACAGCCATTAGGCTATAGTAACATACTTTCACTGACCAAACATTCTTTGCTGATAGTTGGCTTTCTATCGACATTAAGTAAAATAGAATTCCCAGCCTATAGATAATCAGATAGAGAAAAGTCCCTCCCACCGTCTAGAGAATACTTCACTGAGCGGAAGACATGCGATTTTATTATATAACGTGCATCTTTCTTTTTCTTGTGTTTCTTCTATGCTACACATGCTATAGGGTGGGAACAGTCGTAATTCAATCCAGGCGCTTGCCGCTTCGAAACAAAACGGTCGGCCTTGGAAGGACGCTTTGCGCTCAAGTTCAATGTAATGGAAAACCAAGACCATCCAAGCACCGCAGTAATGATAATGATGATGGTCATCATCATCATCATCATCATCATTGGAAGCCGTATCATCGACGTATTGGTTGGCTATGTGGAACGTGAACATAAGAGCGGTTTATGTGAAGTTTTTTTTTTTATTCCAATGCGAATTAATCGAGCAACGATTTTATGACCGTATGGTTCGCATCACAGATCGTTTCTCAAAGCTGGCTTGGAGCTGACTTATGTGTGTAGTAATAATGATCATGATAATAGTTTTAAATGATTACATGCTCCTGTGGAATAACTACCAAATTCAACAAGTGCAGGGTGCAGTAATGAGGGGAAATTCCGAAGTATGGTCGATCGAAGATCTATTGTGCTTATTTTTTCATCAACCTAAATTAGCCAATGGTAATATTTGGATGGCCGATAATCTTGAAAGATTCTAAGGAATGCGATATTGTTCATCAGTCATTCTCGCGATTCACGTGGAAAATAAAAATAAATGATTTTTGCTCTATTGACTTCAAGCTTGAAGTAACGAAAACCATGTTATCGGTTCGATCACCTCAACGTGGAATTTTTTTTCAATGGGGCGTTCCGCAGACAGTGAAAAAATTCGAGCTGATTCTCAGGATAAACAAAACGGTATCTGGAAGCTTAATGGAACCCACACGGCATTGCAACCCGACAGTCTGACCTGACACCTGACGAGCCAACTTCGCTTACGGTCGGTGACGTAAAGTTGAAATCTCTATAAATGGCAAGAAGATTAGCAAAACAGCAAATTAACGAAAACGGGGTTTAGACGTTCACAAGTTCGCACTTTGCCTGCCAGGTCAGTGGAATTTCAACCACCATCATTAAACGTTTATTGACATCCTACCGCTACCATTGTTGCTACTGATGGACCATTGGTGGATATTAGTGTAGGGTTGACATACGATTAATTATTGCTCTGCGGTGTGGAAGTGTGAGTATAGTGATGATAGAATTTTGTTTCTCTATTAATTGGAAACTACTAGTTGAAAATGGTAAAATATTGACTTTCCTTTAGTGAACAAGGGTAATTTTGACGTCTTTATGGACTATACTGGGGTGCAAATTGAAAAAAAATTGTTACTAAATAGTGTCTCGTTTTGAACGCTTATGACATGGTCATTTATGAATGAAATTAAATTTTAATCACACAATTTTATTAAGATTGAATGTTAGATATGCCTGCCCCGTAACGTGGGTACATCACCTTATCGTAGTACGTTACGGGATGTAAGATCTACCACCGAGTCCTAGTCCTGACTACTTCAAACTTGAGGAACAGGATTTTTCAGTAATCAAAGGAACACATCTTAGTCCTTGTTACTTTTTATGCCTTGTTGATAGTGACAAGACTCGGATTTGCCTTTCCGAAAATTATCAAGGAAAAAATGAGTTAGTTAGTCTTCATCTATGTGATTCCTAATCTTCTATTCGTTGTGCTCTAGTTTGAAGTGGTTAATGATGCATGGTCATTCCTTAATTTTGTTGCTAAGGCATCCAATTTTGACTGACAAAGGGGCGCGCCTTTGGAGGGTGTTTCAACACCCCGAAGGGTATAAAGAGCGGGTCCTTTCAACTAGAGTCGGATCCTTGCGATAAATGCAAGAATGGAAACTGTAAAAAAAATCGAATACTTCATCATTTCTCAATAGTGATGGAGTAATACGACATGCACTAAACTTAGGTCGCAGTAGTGTTAGGCCCCGAACAGAGGAAAAAAAATAGATATGTTTGGTATAAAGATGATAGTTGTTTACCAATTGTTAAATTTTAAAAATGTATCAATTTTTTCAGCCGTATTCAACCAATTAGGTGCTCGCTCGCTATAACTATCGAGAGAACAGAGAGAAGAGCCGGTACCACTCAGTAATAATTTTTTTTTCTCTTTACTTTTTTCTATTCATTGACCTACATCAGCAAAATACATAAAAAAGGTGGTGCTTAGAATGCTAATCTTATTAAGTAAGGGAAACTTAGACAATTTGACAGCAGTCATGACCTATTCTCTGCTTGACCGGTTTTTACTCGCCCTCTCGAGTTGTTCACTAGTTCGTTCCGATAGTGTTCGTACTCTTTTTTTTTCACGGTGTTTGGTGAAGCATCGCACGACCGCCGCGTGTTGACGATCGGACACAGCCAGTTCTCACTTAGCATCGAAGAAGCTGTTTGCGAACAATCGTTACGCCATCCTAGAAAACGGCGAAAGTTCCACCGTTCTTCGTAAAAGGACTCCCGGAAGACTTGCGGAAGAAAATCGACTTTTACATCGGT